GTTCACGAAGAGCTCACTAAGACGTGGCACGCCCCCTATTCGGCCCGGGTTAACCCCTCTACAGCAGCGGCTCTCACTTCCGTTGACGGCGCTGATGACAGAGGGTACAGCAGGCTTCCCCCTCTGGAAGAGGCGGTCGCTGCCCACTTATGCCCACCATCTGCCCTCGGTTTGAAGGCGCATGCAGCGCATCCCTCCAAGCCCTGCAGGACCACCTCGGCCATAGCCAACAGGATGGACGAGTCAGGCCAACAGCACCAGGAGGCTTTTAAAGAGCTGCGCACAGCGACAGACCTGGCTCTGCATGCAACAAAAGCAACGGCACAGGCAATCGGCAAGACGATGGCCAGTTTGGTTGTGTTGGAGCGCCACCTCTGGCTGAATTTGACTGAGATCAGGGATGCTGAGAAAATGGCCTTCCTCGACTCGCCAGTTTCACCGAAGGGCTTGTTCGGCCCCACTGTGGACAGGTTCACGGAGCGTTTTTCTGAAGCTCAGAAGACGTCGCAAGCACTGCGTCACTTCCTCCCCAAGTGCTCCACTTCCGCGACTGCTAGTCGCCAGAAGACTCCCGCAACTCAGCCTGCAAAGCCAGCGCAGCCTCAGTCACAGCCGCAGCGGAAGTCCAAGGCCGGGCTTCAGCAGCGCCCCCGGACAGTGAAATGCTTCCCCTTCCCAAAGCGTCAAGGTCCCCGCCCTCGAGTAGTGCTGGACCCTGAGCCTCCTAAGCCATCCTGATCCAGCAGAGAGGAAGAGGAGGGGTTCAGTTCTCGCCTCGGCCGGAACTCCCCCGAAGACAGCTCGCTTTCACACTCCATCCCTCCGAGTACCTCTGAGCAATGGAGTTTTGCCCTCCGTGGGTCACGTCCTGCAGGTGCAGCGTGTACCCGAATGTTTTACCACTGTGATAGCGGACTCATAAGAGCAAATTTCCTCTTCACACTCTCTCACTCACAAATTCAGGGTCCCCGCCCTCCCATGGCGAGCCTTTATTCGAAAAAATCCTCTCGCATCCCGGCTATCGGCCTGGGCAGCCATACCAGACATGTCAAGTTGGGTTCTAAACACAATTCAACAAGGCTACTCGCTTCGGTTCGCTCACAGGCCGCCTCGCTTCAGAGGTATTGTTCAAACTTCTGTCTCGGACAACAAAGGTCATGTCCTCCGACAGGAAGTGCAGACACTGCTTGCAAAAGGTGCAGTGGAGATAGTACCGCCAGCGAAGAGCGAGTCAGGCTTTTTCAGCCACTACTTCCTCGTCCCAAAAAGAGATGGCGGGCTCAGACCCATTCTGGATCTCAGTCATTTGAACCACTCGCTTATGCGCCGGCCGTTCAAAATGTTAACTGTCAAACAGTTCCTCGCGCACACCATCACGGACCGTTCTTGAGATTCACATTCAAGGGCATTGCCTATGAGTATGCAGTCCTTCCGTTTGGACTGTCCCTGGCCCCACGCACTTTTACGAAGTGCATAGACACGGCTCTTTCCCCTCTGAGACAGATGAGAATCCGCATATTGAACTACCTTGACGATTGGTTGATTCTAGCCAGATCAGAACGGGAACTGGTCGCTCACAGGACGCTGTTGCGCAGCCACTTAGAGTGCCTCGGGTTGAAGATCAACCCGCAGAAGAGTCAGTTGTTGCCCAGACAGCAGACTGTCTTTCTGGGAATGACTTTAGACTCTGCTCGAATGCGAGCATGGATCACGCCAGAACAATCCCTGACCATTCAGCGATTGGCGGCATCCTTCAAACCCAGGACGACAAGTCCTTTGAAGTTTTTTCAGAGGCTGCTCGGTCTCATGGTGGCCACCGCCTCTGTGATACCTCTGGGCCTGCTCTATATACGGCCACTTTGGGCTCAAAGCCTGTGTTCCACCCCACGCCTGGCACCGGGGATGACTTCGTGTCAGGATAGACCATTGCTGTATCAAAGCTGTGGTTCCCTGGACAACCCCCCACCTGTTTCAAACAGGCGTGCGGTTGGGTCTGACCTCCAAAAGGAAGGTGGTTACAACGGATGCCTCCAACTCGGGTTGGGGCGCCCTGTTGGAGGGCAATCTGGCATTTGGCTCCTGGTCAGCCCCGAAGCAATGCCTACATATCAACTGCCTAGAAATATTGGCGGTTTTCCAAGCCCTGAAAACCTTCCTGCCGACCTTGAGGGGGCACCACGTCTTAGTCCAGTCAGACAGCATGACAGTGGTGGCTTTCATCAATCGCCAGGGCAGGCTCAGATCATACTCCCTTTACAGGATGGCTCGACGCCTCCTTCTATGGGCACAGAAAGAACTCCTCTTGTTAAGGGCGGTTCACGTTACGAGCAGGTTCAACCTTGGCGCAGACATGCTGTCCAGAGGCAATGTAGCCCCAGGCAAATGGGTGCTACATCCTCAAACGGTTCTGAAAATCTGGGCTGTCTTCGGGAAGGCAGAGGTCGACCTCTTCGCCAAACGGTTCTGAAAATCTGGGCTGTCTTCGGGAAGGCAGAGGTCGACTTCTTTGCCTCAGAAGACAAGTCTCACTGCCCAACATACTTTTCGATACAGCGAGATGCTCTGGCCCACAACTGGCACAGTGCTTGCCTGTGTGCTTCCCCCCCGATCGCCCTGATTCCTCAGGTCGTCAGGCGGGTCAGGGAGACCAAGTGCTCACTCCTCCTAGTGGCCCCGCTCTGGAGAAACCAAGCCTGGCTCCCAGAGCTAGTGCAGCTCTCAGCAGCAGCCCCATGGCCAATTCCGCTGAGGAGGGATCTTCTCCCGCAGGCGAAAGGCCTGATTTGGCATCCCTGGCCGGAGCTGTGGAGCCTTCATGTATGGTGCCTCGACGGGAGCCTAATCAGCTCCCAGCGAGAGTAATCAATACCATTTTAGAGGCGAGAGCGCCATTTACAAGATGCCTTTACAGCCAAAAATGGTCAGTCTTCCTTAACAGGTGCTCTGCACATACAGTGGGTACGGAAAGTATTCAGACCCCCTTAAATTTTTCACTCTTTGTTATATTGCAGCCATTTGCTTGAAAAATTGAAGGGGGTCTGAATACTTTCCGTACCCACTGTAGTCTGAACCCGGTATCATGTAAAGTGTCCCACGTGCTAACCTTTTTACAGGAGCTGTTGGATAAGGGGCGCCCCTTCCACGCTCAAAGTGTATGTGGCAGCTATCACTGCTAACCATTCTCTCAAAGCTGGCCAATCGATCGGCAGAAACAACCTGGTCGTTAAGTTCTTGAGAGGCGCTCGGTTAAGCGAGTGGGTGATTTGCAAGTGCTGTCATTTAGCGCCTCATGTCTTGAGTTTGGACCTAGCGACTGTAAGGTCGTCCTGAAACCAAAACATGGTTATGTTCCTAAAGTGCTCTCGACTCAGAGCACAGGTGATCACCCTGTTGGCGCTCCCCGTTACAGATGCTGAGCAGGGTACTAACTTGCTCTGTCCAGTAATGACACTGAGAGTGCAGCTCTCAGCAGTCAGAGCAGCTCTTTGTTTGCTTTGCAGGCCGCCAGAAGGGACTGCCGGCCACAAAGCAGCGACTCTCTCGCTGGATTGTGTATGCGATAGCCTTGGCTACAATGCCCTATAGGTGTGAGGGCCCACTCCACAAGGGGGATGTCCTCCTCCTTGACATGGTCCAGCGGGATTTCTATTGGTGAGATTTGTGCGGCCGCCGGCTGGTCATCGCTGTCCACATTTGCCAGATTTGATCATTTGGATGTCCCTGCACTACAGGCATGGATTATCTCTGTTTAGACTGCCATTCTTCCCCCTTGGGCGAAGTTCTTTATATTTGTGCTTATCAGCTACTAGCTCGTAGCACAAAGTGTGCTCATGTTCTTGGGAGTCCTTGTCTAGTGCTCCGAGACTGGGCTCGCAGGACCTATTGTTCTGTATCTGCTCATAGCGCAGCGTGATTGGACGCATTCCCCAATGCGTTATACGCCATGGGAGAGACCGTTCGAAAGGGATAAGGGGATAAGGGAACGAGCGTTGTGTCACTTGCCGCACTCTAAACTGCACGTGAATCGATGACTGTCGCTTCAGTCGAATGATCTGATGAATGTCGCTCCGAGCCGACTTATATAGTGGTCGGCTCCACCCTTTCTGGCGGGCTAAAGCGCCATTGGTTTGTGCAGCTACACAAACGTGAAGAAATCAGGCTTCAGTACAGAGTAAAACAGGAATTTTCCCCAATGCGTTATACGCAATGCTCGTTCCCTTATCTCAGGGAACCGACGTTACGTTAGTAACCGGAGCATTTTATTTACAGCTTCATAAAAATCAGTTTTTACAGTGCGTATGTCACTGCAAGCTTGTTGAACAGCTGAAAAGGAAAATGAAACTAGCTGCGTGAATTAGGGCTGGGCAATATAGATAAATATATAGTTTTTAGCCTTTTGCTGATATACAGCGTCTCTGTTTTTGTATTTGCTCAAAGTTATTTGAAAGGTTGTATTTTTTAAATCAGAGGAACAATCATGGTGTTAAAATGCCATTATTGTGGGTTCAATTATCAGAGAACACATAAACTGATAATAAGTCATATTAGATAAAAGCATCTGCCAAATGCATAAATGTATATAATGCATTGTAATTAAAGTTTACGCAGGAATTATAGTCAAATTAATTAAAAAAAAAAATCTCATTATTGGCTAAATAGTAGAAGAGAGCAGATACTAACCTCCTGAAGATGAAATGTGAAATGCAAGAGTCAATATTAGAAGCCAGTTTGATTTTCTCTTGGCCAATTTCATTTTTTAACCTGGTCTGTCTGTCTCTTGAAGCGAGTCACTGAGTTAGTTTCGACTTGACAAAAACAAACGAATCCAAGCAAGATTCTGCGGTTAATGAAAGGGTTCATGTCATACTTGATTTATTAAATTTTTCCCCCTGAGGGCCACTTACAATGTTAGTAAAATTGTTTTGCACCAAAACAGTCATAATTCAGCAATAATTGACCATTTCCACTCCGTCTCTGACCATCTAAAAGAAAAACACGGTTTAGGAGCTGCTTTCTCCTTTAAGACCTTTAAAACATCTTTACATAAGAAATAAGTATCAACATGCCCAACCACAGCATGTGTGTGAGACTGCAGAAAATCCTGTGAAAGAGTGAAAAACAGGAGGATATGTTCAACCAAATCATTCACAAAGACGACAACCCTTTAAATTTAAAATTAATTTAAAAAAATTTATTTTTAAAAGTAAAAATTAATCCAGAATGATTCTAGACTTCACTAGATCTTCGTATGCTTTAAAAACACTTAATATGCAGCAATGTTTTAATATGTACTATAGTATTTTATTAGCTCTTAATAATCTTGATGATGGAGATGCATGATTTAGTGGGTTCTAATATGACACAATATGACAATATGATGAACAACTACTATTTGTTAAGAAATATTTGCAAGTTTTATACTTTCTGTTTTATGTTTATTTGCAGTTTAATCTCCAGATGAGAACATCTGATCTGCACCGCTGGTTAAAATCATGTGAATTATTTCCAGTAAAACTGCATTGGTTTGTCTGCAGAGGAAGTAAGTGGACATTTAACAGACGTCTTTATCCAGAGCAATTGCAGACTGTTACAGTGATTGTCTTTGTTCATTTGTCCAACTGATGTTTTAGTAGATGGTAGCAACTGCTATGCTACTAGCAAATAAGATCTAAACAATGAGTGAATATTAAATAATGAATGGTTAAAAAAAATGAATATAAATGCATAACAGGAGAATTCAGTAATGTCTGTTTTATTTATGCACAATTATGTATAAAGTGTCAAAATATTCTTTAATATGTTTATTTACATACATAAAATGCTTACTATGAAAATAGCTTTAGCAAGACAAATGAATTAGCCATACTATTCCAGTAAATACAAAAAAATCCACCTCAGAATACTATTAAACACGATACATCATTTGAATTGTGGCAGAAATGACATTGTGAGGTAAATGTTCAGGATGTTACAGAAATAATAACAGGATTTTCCTGTGATGCATGTATACCTAATATTAATCATTTGTCAGTAAACAAATTAAATAAACTAGTGTGAAAAGTGTGTTGTAAGACAGAATATTATCTGAAAGTATCGGCATTAAAGGATTAGTTCACTCCAGTATTAAAATTTCCTGATAATTTACTCACCCCCATGTCATCCAAGATGTTCATGTCTTTCTTTCTTCAGTCGAAGCATTTGTGGTTTTTTTGTTTTGTTTTTAAATGACAGATCAATAAGATTTCAAAGATTTCAATAGATAAGGCCCTTATTCCTCGGCTGGGATTGTGTAGAGCCCTTTGAAGCTGCACAGAAACTGCAATTTGGACGTTCAACCCAGTGGTCCCTGTTGAAGTCCACTATATGGAGAAAAATCCTGGAATGTTTTCCACAAAAACCTTAATTTTTTTTCGACGAAAGAAAGAAAGACATGAACATCTTGGACGACATGGGGTGAGTAAATAATCAGGAAATTTTAATTCTGTGGTGAACTACTCCTTTAATTTGTTTAGATCCAAAAACCTGTCAGTGTCTTGATTTAGTCACTATTACTGGCTTCAAATTACTGTAAAAATATAATGAAATAATGTACAGCATATAAATGAAATTAAAGAGCCAATGAATACACAACAGCACGGAAAAATCAGGAAAAAAACAACAAATTTCACAGCATCACTCTTTAAATGGAAAAACGCTTTTGTAAATCCTAATATTAGCAGAAATATTGCTCTCTCCACACCAAACAGAGCAAATACAGTCACAAACCCCATTGAGAGCATCACTCCAACAAAACAAAACAGGAATAACTTGAATGCAAAGACTAGAGTTGTCCGAGCTTGCATTTGATCCGGTATAATGGAGTAAATAGTGTATAAATGAGCCCCGAATGTGACCCCGGGAGCAGCATGGCACGCTATAAGCACATCTGACCACGTCTGTACACTGACAGCTGTTCCTACAGTCAGTCCTAGACCTGCTATGAACACTATACTGGGAAATGTAAAGATCATGACTAAAAACATTATGATTTGGTGTCCATGTCGTGAATTTGCAAAGTCATGATATGCAGCGGCTACGGTGAAAGTGGAGGATAGGATCAAATTGAAAGGAACGGCAACATCTGGATTGAGAATATTTCTTAAAGTGACCATAAAAATAACAAGTACAAATAGTATTTCCGCAAATTTAAAATGCTCATGCCTTACTTTAGTAAAAATAAAAGCGGTGTTCAGTAAAATGAGTAAAATCCATCGTGCAGTTTCTGCTGAATTGTCATGTTTTTCAGAGAGAATTTGATTTTCTTCATGCACATCTTGAATGGTTTCTTCTGTTTCTAACGTTTGTGTCAATGCTGAGTAAAATCTGTGATCATTGAGCCAAACTAACTTGTCTATTTCCACTATGAGAGCTGCTCTTTGAGCAGGTTTTGCTTCAGAGTCTCTTATGATGTGAAATCTTCCTCCACATGCGTTGATCATTTCTCCAGCAATCCCTCTGGACGCTCCTGTGAAACGTTCCTGGTGATTTTGGAGCAGAAGAACAATGCAGTACTGCAGGACTTCTGCTCCCAGCAGCTCCTGGGCTCGTTTCACAATATCACACTGTTGTGATTGTTGATCGTCCAGATTCAGGAGCATTAAAACGGCGTGAGGTCCAGGAGACGAGAGAAACAGCGCTGTTGTGAAGGTCTGTCTCGCTGTGTCCTCCTCACAGAGGTTTGGTCCAGTGACCAGCATCATTCTACGAGCCTCGTCTGTAATTACTGGAGTCTTTACAATCTCTCTGTCCTCCTGTCCACCGTCTTTCCTTCCTGACAGAAGATCTGCAGCACTGAATCTGGACTGACCTCGGATTCCTACAACCAGGATCCTCACTTCATCTTCATGAGAAGCTGGAATAATGTGTGAAGCCATCATGCAAAGCAAGAAAAACTGAGTAAAAAAGGTATTCTTTGAAAACAAGCCACCAAAATACTGACATTAATGAGCAGGTACATTACCTTCTTCTTGTACAGTGTGAAATAGCAGAATCAGTGTGAAGAGCAAGATGGGTTTTGTGTTGGTCAATTGCATCGTACAACCTAAAGTCAAATAAATGTAGCCTGTTACTCAAGTTACCCTATCAACAAAACTAAGAATAGAAATAAGGTTTTACTTACAACCAGTTAGTTTAGAAAACGCTATATGCGTAGTTCTGTCCTGTCTTTTGTTTTGCTAAAACAACTATGCTCCACAAGTCAGCGTTCGATGTCAGAGTAGATATTAAACCAGTTTGACAAGTTATTTGGAAAAGTCAGTGCTCCAGACTGTGACTAGTAGGTCGCATTTTGCAAGGATTTTTTTTCTAGTGAGACTTGTGTTAGCGATCGAACGGGTGCCAGATAGGCGCTGCAATTTGTGTTGTGTATGAGAAGCATTTAAACAGCAAAAGCGGAACGAAACCGCACAACTTTGAACCGGAAGAAAGCTCAGCGCAAATACTGACCGCTATCAATCACGTGACAGTTATAAACAGAGCTGTGAGGTCCAGTGTGAAGCATCTGAGACTATAGTTCTCCGATACAAAACACAAACTACTGATTTATACGAGCTTGAAACCAGATGAAACGGCGCTGAGATTCTCAACATCCCTGACGTGTGAAACAGGAGAAACATTGTGTAGAAACGATCCCGTTTAAATCCACAAATTACTAACATTTAGAAAGGATTAATTGTAATCACATAAACTCTAATTATGGTATTATGGCAGAAAGGTGGGGATATTACTAACACATTATGAATGTAGACGTGTTTTAAATGGTTTAAAGCAGTAATGTAATTAGCCTGCAGTGTTTTTTGTTGTTGTTATGCTGTGCATTTGTAGCCTATTTATAACTAGGCCTACTGTTTTTCATTACAAATAGGCTACCATTGAAACCATACATCTTACCGTGGTATTTAGGCGCCATCCCTTACGACAATTAATCATGGTTTTATTGTATTAATTTATGTAGTAACCATGTTTTTTGTGTGTGTTTTTTTGTTTTGCTGTATTGATTAAAAATTGTATAACCACAGTTTTACTATAATACCATGGTTAAGCTATGGTTAGTGTAGCAAAACCATGGTTAATTTGTGGTTATCATGGTTTAACTTTTTTTTTTGTAAATTCATGGTTTATTTTTGTCAGGGATGCATGGTTCATGATCTACAAATGTATGATATTATGAAAGACCAATGGTAATTTTTTTTATAAGAGTAAAATCCTAATTCAGTCAGTCAGAATATGTAAATTTTACCCCATAAAATTAAGTTGTTGCAATTTTTTCCTTTGGTGTAAATAACAAGAACAGTAAGTGAAAGTAGGAAACATCATAATGAGAAACTGAAATAGAAAGTGATTTTTAACTGGTAAAAATCCAGTTTTGCCCAAAAACTCCTGTCTCACATGTGATCTTCTGTTAATTATGGAAGGCCGTTTGCACCAAAAGTTTTTAAGCAGAACGCGTGGAATTTGATCGTGTCAACACGCAGTTTGTCCGCCTTAACGCAACCACACTGCAGCCAATGAAATCGCTGCATTTGAGAATATTTTTGCATATGTGACACAATGGTACGTTGGTATATATGTATACAATCATCAGACATCATGTTTAATCTTGAAGGATGTAGTAATGGTAAACTGGTATGCATGTATGCACCAAAAGTTTTTAAGCAGAACGCGTGGAATTTGATCGTGTCAACACGCACTGTTTGTCCGCCTTAACGCAACCACACTGCAGCCAATGAAATCGCTGCATTTGAGAATATTTTTGCATATGTGACACAATGGTACGTTGGTATATATGTATACAATCATCAGACATCATGTTTAATCTTGAAGGATGTAGTAATGGTAAACTGGTATGCATGTATGCAAACATCAGACATTATATTTTAATACCGCCAGAATGCGTGTCTACACATACAAAAGATATGCATTCAAAATTGTGGACAAACAGTGCGTGTTGACGCGCTCGAATTCCATGCATTCCTTTTAAAGACTTGTGGCGCCATCTGCTTCCATAGTTATTTCCAGTATCCCTTCTCGCATGTGTTTGGTTGTGAAACGTATTTTGTAGACCAGAGAGTTGTCAACGATTCTTCCTATTGAAAAGTTGTGTAATGTGTGACATCCCCTGACACTGATCTTTTGTGTAATGTGCACACAACAGCAAATAATGGCACCCCAGTCACTCGTGTAGTGTGAGAAGAACAGCGACCCAATGACTTTAAAAATTGTGCAGCGTGAACACGGCATAAAAGGGAAAATTAAAACTGTGAATTAGTGCGGGTACTATATACTGTAGGAAGAACTGTATCAACAGATAAAGAAATTGCATTGGATAAAACATTTGCCAAATGTATAAATGTAACTAGTTTTTGATAATATTAAATGGCAAAATAGTGGATGAGAGTGGATACTAACCTGAAGATGAGATGTGAAATTCTAGAGTCACTATGCCTATTTAGTTTTGTCTTGGTTAATATCATCATTTAATCTCAGATCTTTCTCACAAAGCAAGTCACATGTAGTCAATTTCAAGTTGACAAAAGCAAACAAATCTGGGTTTGGTCTCACAATGTTTGGTATAAACTTTATCAACTTGAGTTAAAAAGAGAACGGCTTCCAGGAGATTTGTGAGTTGCTCAGTTGTGACGTTTTGTTTTATTTGATCCTCTTCAGGGGTTTTCTAAACTGTATTATCAGCATTAAAGAACCCAATAGTAATGCTGGATAAAACCAGAAAGAACTTAGGAAGTATTCCATATATACTTTATGCAAACTCAACAACATCTCTAATATCAGAACAACTGAAGCAGTAAACACAAAACCACATTGAACCAACACTAAGTCGATTGCAGTGTCCTGCATGGTGGGCTCTAATTTGAACACTGCAATTGCAGTCATGATTATTAGCAGAATTATTGTAAGCGTCACTCCAAACAGTGCATTGAGCACAATCACACACAACACTGTGAGTTCAGCACACACTGCACAAAACAGAAATAATAGCAATAATTCTCTGACATTTAGTTTTTGGAGATCCAATGATGAATTTCAGAATTCATAAGTTCCAATCGTGACTCCAAAAGCCTTATGCTAGTGATTGATCCAAGGCTTATTCCTAAACCTACTGTAAATATAAACTCTGTTCCGATTTTTTCTTTGTTACTTGACTTGCGAATTGGTAGATACTTTATAAAGGCAGCCGCAACTGTGGAGCACAGAGCCAAATTTAGTGCAAAAGCAACATGTGGACTCAAAGCATTTCGTAAAGATGCCATAAATGTCACGAGTCCAGCTAAAGATGCCACAAAAATTAACATTGTGCGCGTTTGTTCAGTAGCCAAAACAACCGCAATCAGTGAAATGATCAGACTCCATCCGACCACTCCTAAACTGTCACGCATTGCAGATGAGACCTGACTTTCTCCAAGTTTGTCGTCTATTTCACTTAGTTTTTTTAAAAGCTCCATCCTTTCTGACCGTAGCTGTTGTGTCAATACTGAGTGAAATCTGTGATCATTGAGCCAAACTAACTTATGTATTTCTGCTACGAGAGCTGCTCTTTGAGCAGGTTTTGGTTTAGAGTCTCTTATGATGTGAAATCTTCCTCCACATGCGTTGATCATTTCTCCAGCAATCCCTCTGGACGCTCCTGTGAAACGTTCCTGGTGATTTTGGAGCAGAAGAACAATGCAGTACTGCAGGACTTCTGCTCCCAGCAGCTCCTGGGCTCGTTTCACAATATCACACTGTTGTGATTGTTGATCTTCCAGATTCAGGAGCATTAAAACGGCGTGAGGTCCAGGAGACGAGAGAAACAGCGCTGTTGTGAAGGTCTGTCTCGCTGTGTCCTCCTCACAGAGGTTTGGTCCAGTGACCAGCATCATTCTACGAGCCTCGTCTGTAATTACTGGAGTCTTTACAATCTCTCTGTCCTCCTGTCCACCGTCTTTCCTTCCTGACAGAAGATCTGCAGCACTGAATCTGGAGTGACCTTTGATTCCCACAATGAGGATCCTCACTTCATCATCATGAGAAGCTAGAAGAGAAAGCGACCACAACGACCGTATAGGCTAAACTGCTTGGCCACCCCAAAACATTGGGAGAAGCGATTAGTCAGCAGAGAATGTGGTATAGCGCGTAAGTTTCTGCTGAATACTTCGTTCTATTCCTGTTGTTTCGATTTTTGCTTGCTGCTATAAAGGATTATTTCATTTACTATCTATTTCTACTTTCTTCTTTCGTTATAATTTCTATCTTCATTGCACTTGAATAATAGCAGTTGGCTAAGAAGAAGCTTTTATATTTGTATTGCTCGTTTACTACACTTAACTGCGAACTGTCCCGCGTTCTAGTTGTATAGCTTATACAGGTGCATCTCAATAAATTAGAATGTCGTGGAAAAGTTAATTTATTTCAGTAATTCAACTCAAATTTCCATGACATTCTAATTTATTGAGATGCACCTGTAATTGCATAGTTTCCATTTGAGCCATTGGCCTGCTATAGGCTTTGGATGTGCTAATTGTGAAGGCGCACACAGCTGTTGTCACTCAAGTGTAGATTGGCTGTGTATTTATTTGTTATCTGTGAGCTGATGCGGAAGCGTTCAGCCCTCGTCTTCAATCTCCTCGTGTGAAGACCGATGAGTGTAAAGACCATCGACTCTACCTTGCGTGACTCCACCGAGCTACGACACCGACAGCGCACTTAAGTATCTTTTATTTTCCCTGCCCTCTCTTTTCCACATCTATCATGTTTCCAATACAAAAACGGAGCATGCTGCACAACTTCTTGTCCAGGCCCTTGTCATTAGGCTGGACTACTGCAATGCTCTTATGACTGGACTTCCATCATGTGCAATCAGACCTCTTCAAATGATTCAGAATGCAGCAACACGTCTGATCTTCAAGGAGCCAGATTCAAGTGATTATTACATTTTGAATATGGATATTTTTCTTACAAAAACGCATCGATTCGCTACAGGAGGCCTTTGTTCACCCCCCGGAGCCGTGTGAGACACTTTTTTTTATGGAAGGGTGCTTTTTATTTCACGTCTTTTGAACCGAAGCACTGCAACACCCGTTGAGTACAACGATAGAGCTTGAAAGATCAAAGACAATTTTTAATATAACTCCGACTGGATTCGTCTGGAAGAAGAAAGTCATATACACCTAGGATGCATCGTGGGTGAGTAAAACGCAGCCTAATTTTCATTTTTGGATGAACTAACCCTTTAAGAACCCAACAGAAATGCTTGATGAAACAAGAAAGAACCAAGCAAGTATTCTGTTAATACTTTAAGCAAACTCAACAACATCTCTAAAATCAGAACAACTGAAGCAATAAACACACAACCACATGGAAACATCACAAAAGG